TCATTCTAGTAGACTCTTCCATCTGCCAGATCATCGGGATGAGACTCTCGACAAACAGTTTCAAGGAATACAGGAAAAGCCAAGAAGCAATGCGACTCTGGAGAGAAGGGAGGAAGGGGAGCAAAATAAATAGAGAGGCAGAAGGATCCATAGTGATCGCCATAAATCAGAAATTACTTGAAGGCATACAACAACAACAACCAACAACAATTAAATGCCCAAAAAAAATGTATCCGCTTCATTCAGATTTATTTGTGGGATTCAACAACCTGCCAACCATTTGATTTTTTTAAAAAGTCTTTTCTATCTGTCTCACTCACTGATCTCCCAGCCCCAAAAACCACACACACAAAGGCACAACACTCCCAAGTTTCTTTGTCTATCTATGCTTTCCAGCAGCACATATGGAGCGGAGAAAAACTTCAAACAGGTCCTGAGCATGGTTTTTCCCCATCCCATATGGCTCTTTCCTTTTTAACGCTGCGGCGATACTATTTGTCAACATTCTGCAACTGCCGCCTTCACTTTGACTAATTAGAGTGTTTGAGGACATCCTGTGACATCACAATGATTCAGCCGAGGTCGGGCAGAGAGAAGGGGCTTCCAGATTTTAGTCTTCTCTACAAGTTCTTATTTATGGAGAATGTAAAATTGCTTGGCATTGTAAAGCCTATAAAATGCAACACAGCCACCATCCAGCTGAGAGAATCACAGCAGTTGCCTGCCCTATCTCAGTCTTTGGACGTTATCACACGGGGGAAATCTGCTGGTTAATCCATACAAATCCCAAACAGAAACTGGATTTGTGCCTCACGATTTCACACGACGTCACACAGAAACTGGACAGAAACTGGTATTATCCGAGATCTTTTGAAATTCGGTTGTTTGGAGGAAATGCAAATGCGAAATTACAGTAATTTCACATTTATCGTAATATGAAAAGCAAATGCGCATTTGGGAGCATTTCCCTGCTTTTCCCATGGTTCCAGCAAGCATTCCTCTATCTGCGCATGTGCAAGAAGTTCATTTCTAGTACATTTATGGGCTTTTCTCACTTGTGTGTGAATGTTAAATGCGCTTACTGTAATTTCGCAATTAAGGTAATTACGTGTGAAAGCCATTTGCGGAATCAAGGTTTATTTTTGGTTTATTTTCGGAATGCCTCATTTCCACTTTATTATCGCTTTCTGGCCCACATGTGATAATGTCCTTTGTGAAAACAGAATGGTTTCGACTTGACTTTCTGAATGTGAATTGAAAGTGGCGCCGATGGATTTGCTCAGAATGGGGAATCAATAATGAGCAAAGGTCTAGTCTTTTTATTTAAAAAATTGGGCTGACTTCCTTTTAAGGACATATACAGGTGTAAGTCCAGCTTAGGCCTGCAAATAATTTTTATAGTTGGGATGGATGGTGGAATTCAGTTCTGCAGTCTGTGTCAACTGTGGGGGGTTACCACGTAATCCACTCTTTGTCTACCAGGTGTGAAGCTCTACCTAAACCTTCACTGCTGTCAAATGTGAAGACTTCTACAAATCTCATGGTTACCACCAAGAGTGAGAGCTTTTCCCCTTCTCTCCACCTATGCTACCAATATAAGGACCTCCTTCTCTCCTACTGTGGAGACCTTCTAGATGCCTTCAAAGTACCTATGTGGGCTATTATTGTGGTGCCCAGTTCTGGACAATTCAAAAAGGCTGTGGACAAGCTGGAGAGTGTCCAGAGGAGGCCAACAAAATGGCAACAGGTCTAGAAACCACCAAAGCCGGTGAGGAGCAGCTTAAGGAGCGAGGTATGTTTAGCCTGGAGAAGAGAAGGTAAAGGGGTGGCATGATGGCCATGGTTAAATATTTTAAGGGATGTTCTATTGAGGGTGGAGCAAGCTTGTTTTTTGCTGCTCCAGAGAATAGGACCCAGAGCAATGGATGCAAACTACAGGAAAAGAGATTCCACCTCAACATTAGGAAGAATTTCCTGACAGTAAGAGCTGTTTGAAAGTGGAAGATGCTGCCTTGGAGGCTGGTGGAGTCTCCTTCTTTGAAGGTCTTTAAACAGAGGCTGCATGGTCATCTATCAGGGATGCTTTGATTGAGAGTTCCTGCATGGCAGAATGGGGTTGGATTGGATAGCCCTTGGGGTCTCTTCCAACTCTGTGATTCTGTGATTTTATGACAATGTATTTAGGTCATCACTAGACATCACCCCTTTTTCTTCACTGCTGCTCCCAATGACATTGTCTGAATCCAAGCTTTCTAGAATATAGCATTCCCAGGAGTGTATAAACATAAAAACAATACTTTATTAACAGAGGTTGAACATAACAAAACAATGTAATTAATTAATGTACAGTGGGCCCTGTGTAACAGCAGGTGTAGGATCTGCTAATTTCACCACCTATGGATTGCCATGTCCCATATTATTCAGTGATGGTGACATGAATGCCACAAACTGAAACATGTCACCACCATTGAATAATATGGGATGCAATTGTCTGTATTTTTTTGGCATCTGCAGGGAGCTGGAGTTGGAACTGAACTCATACCAATACAAAGGGCCCAATATATTTAGAACACAACTCACACTCTCACATACTCCAGTTCTAGCTAATTCAGAAGCTGGATGGCCATCTGTCAGGTATGGTTTGATTGTGTATTTCTGCATGGCAGAATGGGGTTGGACTGAATGGCCCCTGAAGTCTCTTCCAACTCTAGGATTCTATGATTCAGACTTTGAAACACCACTCACTAATGCCTAAACCTGACTAATTGACTCCTTGACTCACCTGGAGTACCGTGTCCATTTCTGAGCCCCACAGTTCAAAAAGGATGTTGAGAAGATGGAGCATGTCCAGAGGAGGGAGACCAAAATGGTGAAAGGTCTGGAAACCATCAAGCCCTATGAGGAGATACTTAGGGAACTGGGGATGTTTAGCCTGGAGAACAGAAGGTGAAGAGGGGACATGACAGCCATGTTTAAATATTTGAAGAAGTGTCATATTGAGGATGGAGCAAGCTTGTTTTCTGCTGCTCCAGAGACTAGGATCTGGAGCAATGGATGCAAACTACAGGAAAAGTGATTCCAGGTCAACATTAGGAGGAACTTCCTGACAGTAAGAGCTGGTTTCCTCTTCCTTGGCTCAGTTTCATCCTTTCTCACTCACTGCTCCATACTCTTGGAATTGCCTCCCTCTACATCCGAAGAATGCTCTTTCCCTTGCTATTTTTAAATATGCACTAAAAACTTCCTTGTTTTCTAAAGTATTTAGAACTAGTTTAAAATATTGTTTTCTAATTCTTTATATATGTTTGAATTTTGCCACCTTAAGAGCAATTTCATTGATTCTATGATTCTATGATAGAGAATGGTTTTGGTATCCACAGGGTTGGGGTGGGGTGGGTCCTGGAGCCAAAGATTCCCAAAGCACCATTAATAAATAACAAAATGAAACAAACAATAAATAAATTTAAGAATTAGTCTTGCCTCCCTTGGAGAAATCACAGGACACCTACTGTCATGTGCTGGCTGACCTTAGTTCAGAAGTCCAGTGCTCCTCAGTGTGGAAACAGAAAACTTTATTTAAAAACTAAAGTAGTTCACAGCACAGCAATGTTGTCTGAACTAAAGTAATTTCAGTTACACCATATATTGAAAGCGCAGGACAATTCAAACCTTTTTGCATGTTCAACCCCATTCATTCCCATTCCAAAACTTCCTTTTTCCAAGACTGCCCCTTGTCTCTGTATCAGGCATTTCCAGAAGATGGACCTTAGCAGCTCTGAATGATGCCTTATTATTATTATTATTATTATTATTATTATTATTATTATTATTATTATTATTATTTCTTCTTACCTGCTTCTCCCCATGGATCAAGGCAGGGAACAACAGATCAACAGTGAACATCAATTTAAACACATTAGTTACTGCCACATCTGCTCCAAGAAAGATAAACATCCCTTCTACCCAGCAACTAAAGGTATGATAAAACCCATTATCCAGTAATACAAAACAAAGCAGATGCAGCATACCTGACTAGCAAGCAAGCATGGCAGGAATTCTGAGGGATTCTGATCTGATGCTGACACCTACCTTGAACCCCGATCCCTCCTGGAAACTTTTCATGTGGTTCAAAGGTTCTCTGTTTGGGAAAGTGGCTAGTGAGATGTTCCAGCCCCACTGTTAAAGGAGGAGAAGTTATAGGACCATTTATGGGACCTATAACGTGTATCCCAGTTGGAACACAACATCATCTTTGTGGATTTCTTCTTCCTCCTTTGTTTTTCACCTCCAGCTTTAGTCACAATTGCCAACTGGGGATGCTGAGAGCTGGGAAAAGAATAGTCTTGGAATGTGCTAAGCATGTGCCAGTTGCTATAGGAACTTGCAAGATGCACATTCTAGAAGTTTTCCTGAAAGGCAAAGAGGAGTCAGTTGGGCAGTTGCCGGATGGGAGAACCAACCACACCTTTGGATCTGAACCAAGGTCTTGGGCTTTCTTGGTGAGTTGCCAAAACATCAGAGCACTTCTCAGAAAAGGGTTTATAGGGTCAATTGCTAGCCATGAAGTCCTACATGTTGAGTCAGTGAAGCAGAGAGGGTCAACCAAGTTTCATTTCTGAGCCAGAACTGATCTCTGAGGATGAATTTCCTTGGATGGAACAATGGCTATCAACACTTAGTGGTCAAGGAGTGTATAAGAGTTGGAGCCTAGGACTCTTTGCATTACAGATGTTGCAATTTGATCTTTGCAATGCATGCTGCTAGCACTGAACCCCAAGATTCTGAGCCTACAGTTTTTTTTTAAAAAAAGGAATATTGTGTGTGTATGTGTGTGTTGTATGCTTTCAAGTCATTTCCAACTTATGGCAACCCTCAGGTGAACCTATCACAGGGTTTTTTTAAATCAAGTTTCTTTCAGAGAGGGGTTGCCATTGCCATCCTCTGAGGCTGGGAGAGTGTTACTTGCCCAAAGTCGCCCAAAGTCACCCAGTGGGTTTTCATGGCCAAGCAGGAATTTGAACCCTGAACTCCAGAGTCATAGTCCAACACTCAAACCACTACACCAGGCAGGTTCTCAGTTTGTGTACAGAGATGAAACTAAATAATGGTTAAACCAAAGGCTACAGCTGACATCCTGTTGGCATTTTATGTGCACATATGTTCCTTTATGGATGTGGTTATACTTCTTTTGACCATGGTGTTACCTCCATGTTGAGTTCACTGTTGTGTAAACAGAGTTCTGTGAGTCTGCTGGCTGCACATCCTTAGATGATGTAGAGCTATTCATCATCAGTGCCTTCAATGTACCACTTGGTTGATAGGAAAACTGCAAGTCCACTCAGAGATATGCAATTACAAAGGGATCTTTGAGCCATGTATCGGAGGAAGTAGACCAAGTCTACAAAAGCTCATGCTACAACTTCTTTCACTCTCAAAGTCTCAAAGATCCCTTTGCATACTTATATTCTAGTGCAACCACCACTTAACTGCATGGGTGCAGACTTATCCTATTCAAGCTCAATGTAAGATCTGAACCACTGACTCCCAGAATCTCTCAGCCCTGCTGGCTAGGATATTTCACACAGTTGTAGTCCTAAGAAGTAAGTTTCTTCAACTCCGTGACAAACCTGAGGGTACGTGGCTTGGGGTTTTAGAATTAGAAATAACTGGTTTTCAGAACAGATATTTCCCCTCCTAGCCCCAAACTATCTCCAATGCTTTGCCAAGAGCAAATCAAGTTTGGAGTCTCCCTAGAAGCCAAGCTAAACTAAGACTGTCATACTTTGGACATATCATGAGAAGACATGACTCACTTTGCAAGGTGGAAGGCAATAGCCAGCATAGCATATGGTTTGAGTGTTGGACTATGACTCTGGAGACCAGGATTCAATTCTCAACTTGGTCATTAAACCCAATGGGTGACCTTGGGCAAGTCACAAGCTCTCAACCTCAAGGGAAGACAAGAGCAAACCTCCTTTGAACAAATCCTGTCAAGAAAACCCCATGAGAGGTTTGCCTTAGGGCAGCGGTTCCCAAACTTTGGTCCTCCAGATGTTTGGGGCTTCAGATCCAAGAATTCTTTACTGTTGGCCAAGCTGGTCCTCAAACTTTTTAAACAGGGGGCCAGTTCACTGTCCCTCAGACCATTGGAGGGCCGGACATGCGCACTGTGGGCCCAAGACAAGTCGGCTGATAAGCAGGACAGGCAGTGGTGGCAAAAACACCTGGCGGGCCAGATAAATGTCCTCGGCGGGCCACATGTGGCCCGCAGGCCATAGTTTTAGGACCCCTGAGTTTCTGGGAGCTGAAGTCCCAAACACCAGGAGCACTAAAGTTTGGTAACCAATGCCTTAGGATCTCCATAAGTCAGAAACAAACCTGAAGGCACACAACAACAACAACAACAACAACAATGGTAGAAGGCAGCAGAAAAAGAGGAAACCCACATTTCAGATGGATAGACTCAATCAAGAAAGCCATGGGTGTCCTGAGTCTGCAAGACCTGAACAGGGCTGTTAATGACAGAGTGACTTGGATGCCTTTCATTCATAAGTCACTATAACCCAAAGTTCACTTGACAGCAGGTAACAACAACAAGAATAGCAGCCAGTATTCTACACCATCTGTAACTGTTCTGTATTCAAGATCACTACTTTGTCACAATTGCTATTATCATAACTCCCCTCCCCAACCTACTTTACTGGTCATCAGCTGCATGGGGAGAAGGAGGTTCATTCTGCTGGTGATCTGAGCACATGTGAATGGTGTAAGTCTGCAGGAAATAGAACTGATCAGTTTCACAATGTCTGAATTCAACAAGGGACTGCCATGTGTTATTATGTAGGGGAGCCAGCAAAATAAATGATGCACAACCGGATTGATGCACATAGGGACAGATGCACTATGGGACCAATGCACAGTGGGACAGGTGTGCAATGGGACTGATGCCAAACAGCAGCAATGTACATCAGGACAATGGCTAGAGCCCAATGCACACCAGGACACTATTGCTAGTGCCCTGAAGTAAGTGTGTGTCTGTGTGTGTGTGTGTATTAGACACTGCATAGCACAGTATGAAGCGGTATATAAATGAAGCTTTTTATTATTATTATTATTCAAGTAATCTGTTGAGTTATGGTGACCCCACAAATTTCATAGGGTTTTCTGGTATACATCTTTACAATTCACTAGAAGGTTTCCTAGCTCCATATGCATAAAGTTACACAACCTAGACCAGGGGTAGGCAACCTAAGGCCCGGGGGCCGGAT